TACCCCCAGAACTAGTTTTGCGCCAGCAATTTCTTTAGCTATATTGAAATAGTAAATTTACCCATATGACTTTTGTCTTCATCAGTTGTCGAGTTTCCCGTATAAGTGCATGATAAGGAAGGAAGGATGACGGAAAGATGAAATTTCAAAGACAAAAAAAAAACATTGCAGACCGGGATGAATAGGACTGAGGAGTCCGAAGAGCCAACTGCTGTCGTAATCGTTCGTGTTGCTTTTGAACAAAAACAGAAGCGCTATAGCAATATACGGGGGCAGCCTTTAGGGTTAAGCCTAGGAGAGGGCAGGAACCTGTGGAAATGAAAATGGCTCACGTCCTCTGGAGTCTCTTCTCTCCGCCTAGGCTTAGTCCCGTTTTGACAAAAAGAATGGGTTTTACGCGGTTTTAAATGCATTGTCACCACATTGCCCCCGCATTCTGTGATAGCGCCCAACTAATATGTCAAAAACTTTCACATATGTTGAATCCTACAGGCTCCTAACAAAACAAAACAAATCAGGCAACTAATAAAACAAGAAAGCAAGAAAAGTTTGAATAGAGAGAGTGGAAATGAAGCCAATGGCTATCACAAGGGAGCCGATTTGTAGTGTTTGACATGTTTTGTTTTGTTAGCTGTTGTTTTTCTGAAGTGCTAACGGATTTCACAAGTGTTGACATGTACTGTCCTGTTAGCACCTTGAAAGAATTGCCTAACTACCAATTTTGACATGTTTTCTTTTTTTGTTAGCAGTAAATGTCCTCCTTTCGGAATACAGAACCGGAAAGAATAATCGTAACTAGCATTTATGCAAAACAAAGTCAAAAGTAAAGATGCGAGCCCTAAAAGGCTATTCCTGCAACGGCAGCAAGGTACGGTAACCCATCGATAGTACGTCTAGCAAAGCGTTTTTTATGCAGTTACTCAAGTATCGACCATTTGACATCAAATGATGCTGAACCTTACACTCTTGTCTAATTATATGTTCCAAACTATGTCGTCAACGTTTTATGTACGTTCGAATTCGCCATACACACTCCCACGGAACAACCGGCTCCTGCTTTATCGCGTTTAATAGCTGTCTATATTACGCTCCGTACATTTGGCAAATCCTCGATCATGTTATTAAATCTCAATCCGCTTAATCGACATTGGTGATCTATCCCTCTGTCTGTTGTACAGTAAATCAAACAATAACCAAACAGCTGTAAACAAACCAAAACAACCTGTTAATTGTGTCGGAAAAGCACTGAAAGGTACGCAAAAGTGCGTGCACGGCTTTGATCTACTTCGAAGCTTTTCTGCAAATTTACGTAAAATTTGAGTATCGATTGGCGTCCTCTCCACAGTTTCGGCTTTGGAGCAGCTGTAAGGAAGATTTTAAATGGTTTTCTTTATAGTGGGTCAGTTGTTTTCATCTCCTACGCCTAGATGATGTGGTTCACTTTCTTATTTAATTTAATTTCGTTGTATTTGTCTCGACTTATGTCTAAACCATTTTGTCTTCGGCTTCATATTTTCAAGTCTATTTCTCAAGCTTCACTGAGGAAGTTGTGACATCAACGCATTTCTTTGTTATTTTTTCA